CACAGTTTGCCAACCCTTGCTCACACAACTCAAGCCCATCCCACCCCACCTAACCGTGACGATCTTCTTCGGCCAACTCCACAGCCTCTCCTATTTCAACGACCCATCTGTCTTCCGCCTAACTGTGGGCTTATCAGACCATCGTTGTGTGCAAACGTGGGGAGGCAGGGAGAGGGTGCAGATGCGAGGGGCAGGCACTGAAAACACTCACAGCACGCGCAGGGAGGGGGGCAGAGAGAGGTTAGAGATGGACCCGTAGATTAAGAAGTTCTCTCTTAGCACACTGACGGGGGAGGGAAAGTGGGGGTGGGGGGAGGGAGAGGGGTGGATGAGGGGATTGTGGTGTGGGGGAGGGCGGGGGCGTGGGGGTTCGGGAGAGGGGAGGGGAGGAGGGGGGAAAAAGGAGGTATGTGCGAGGGAGAAAATGGTTGAATTGGGATGGGTAGCAGAGTAGAATTGGGAGGTACCAATCACACATTAAGGCAGATTGTTCACCAACAACTGGCGAACACACGCTACCGCGCACAAAGGAGCATGAGACTTGGCAGAAACACAATGGGCGTATAGAGAAAACACAAGGACGGGAGCAGGAACAAACAGCGTGGAAGATAAAGTGAACGGGCAAGTGAACGGGCGAGCAGAAGGGTATGGACAAGGTAAATTAAGAGTGTTGGCAGGTGGGTTGAGAGAACAGAAAGAAAAAGGTGGGGCCAGCGGCAGCATGGAGGCAACGGGCTCACAGGCGTTTTAGAAAAGGCATAGCGGAGAAGACATTCGGAGGTATGGTCCCGTTGATTCCTAGGTCAGGAAGAACACTGCACAGAACAAGGCAACGCATTCAAGAAGAGCCAACATGGACGCACATGCACGGGTTTCACACACACACTGCAATTTCGCAAGAAATTGCATTCAAGATGCATGCTTCACTGCACTCCAGTACAAGAATTGGGCGGTTTTGCAGTTGCAAAAAACTTGTTCTTGTGGTCGTCCCCTTCCTTTTATTAGTACCCCCTCGCTACAAGCCTACTCTTATGGACGCATGCACACATGCATGTATGGACACACGCGATGCATGGACACACGCCCGCATGCACGTACGGACACGCATGTTTGGATAAACGCAGACATGCATGCATTGACAGACGTGTTGAAAGTGGACACTGCGATGGCCCTAAGGGGTCTCCCCAAGGACTGCGATGGAAGTTATTTTCGAGCCATTATTGAGGGCGCACAGAGGGTATGTGTAGGCTCGTGTAAAGAGGAAGGCAGCGAGTGTGAGCAAAACACATTACCGTGCGCTGGATTTGCCACTTGTGCAGGGCCGAGCTGCGCTGGTCATATGTTACCAATGCGACTGGAAAGGTGGTCAAGGCGTATCCATGCCTTTTCGGGCAGCTTGGGGACTACCCAGAGTCATCCCGGTCGACAGCGACGATGCAGCAGGGATCCCATCAGCCGTGCAACTCGTGTTACATCAAGGAGGTTCATCTTTCCAACCTGTCTCAGAAGTCTGTGGTGCGTACGGTGGAACTCCACAGGCGCGTCGTGGCGGCTATACAGTTGGTGGAGGACTCCAAGGCAGCACGGAAAATCAAGAGACGCTGGTCGACACACCCGGTGCAGGTGAGGAAGGCCGAATTCATTCCGCAAAGAAGTCGGTTGCATACGGGCGAAGATGTCAGTTGAAGCGTCCTTGTCTGTCTCGATGCGCAACGTGGCAGTGTTACTTGGAGAGGTGGAACTTCGCCGAGACGGAATGGGGGAACGTGTTTCTTGCCTGCGTGGCGGGCATCCTCCATGTGCTGGACGCAGGCATGCTCCCACATCTGGGCAAGTGTTTCATGGTGGGGAAGAGCAAGCTGGAGCGGCGCGAGTTTGAGAGGTGAGCTTGCACTACATTGGAGGTGTGCCGTTCACGCGTGGTGTGCAGTTATGGACCGTGGCTGACAACCGCATGTTGGTTGGCAGGCGCCGCAAGGAGCAGAAGAAGGAGACGCGAGCAAGTGTGGTGCGCATCCCATGGGGGACCACATGGTTTAGTAGTGGGGCGAACTATGCTGCCTTCGAGCACCGGGGCATGATGCAAGTGATGCTCATGCTGATTGCCGACAGCATGGAGAAGTGCAAGCCGGAAGCGACAGAGAAAAGGGAACAGAAAGTGCGGGCGTTTGTGGAGTGCGCCAGCTTTTACAAGGCTCTTGTCGGCGCGACGAAGCACACAAACGATTCCCTGGACAACGTCAGAGCCATGGCTGTGTCGTAAGTATCGGACCTAGTCTTGCGACAATGCACGGTCAGTCACGGGAAGTGCTCCAGTTTGTGATGGTCGGAGTGACATGGCGACGAGCGCTGCAGATGTGCTGTCGTATATGAGACAAGGTTTTGCCTCACTCGTAGTTTGCGGAATGCAGGTATCGTACATGATGTGCAACATGCCGGTGATGTGCAGGATGTTAGTGTTAGCCCTCAATCTCACATTTGTACTTGTACTTATTATGTCCTAGTTTAGTGTAGTTTGCACTTTGTGTTTGGTTGGGTGTACACCCACATCCCAACCAAACCCAAATGTGATTTCCAAGCAATCTCCAACCCACCAATTAGAGATTGCCTTGGGATTACCCCCAATCTCCTAGGATTGCTCCCGATTCCCTCCCCACCCCTACCTTGCTCATTTCCAATGTACTTAAAGAGCTTTGAGCTCACTACTAAGATATTGATTCTCAGCTCAAGTCCTCACATGGTATCAGAGTTACTAATCCGCACACGCGGATCTTGATCCTCCTACGTTTGCAGAATCCTCTCCTGTACTCTTAGGCGAAGCCGCCTTCAACATTCGTCACTCGACGTTAAGGATCGTCATCATCCTAATCTTCTCGGCCGGAATTTTTCTTGTGCCGTCCTCGTCGCTGGTGATTCGCGACATCTTCCGTGGGCAGATTCTCTCTTGTGCTACTTTTCCCGCAGTCACGGCGCACCGGTTTCTGCACTTTGCTAAAGGTAACCGTCAGTAGCGTTTTCTTCCCACTCACCCCACATCACCGCGGTTTTGTTCCGCAGTTCTTCCCGCTTCGGCATAACCCTATTTTTTGCATCTCGTCAATCGTCGGGCTGCCGCCCGTCGCCCTGCAGCTTCTCTTCGGGTTGCCGCCCGTCGCCCTGCAGCGTCACTTCACGTCGGGCTGCCGCCCGTCGCCCTGCAGCGTCACTTCACGTCGGGCTGCCGCCCGTCGCCCAGCTTCACGTCGGGCTGACGCCCGTCGCCCTGCAGCGTCATCTTCGGGCTGCCGCCCGTCGCCCCGCTACGCCACTTCTATCGCCCCGCAGCTGAACCTGTGAAGCCGAGCAGCCGTGTAGCAGCGAAGCCGCGAAGCTGAGGGACAGGGCCGGGGGGGATTAGGGTTAGTATTAAGTCAACACCACCGAAATTGGCGGTTTTAACCTAAACCCTTCCTCAAATTCTCCTTCGTAAACCCTACCTTACAATTCTCCTTCATAAACCCCACCTTAAAATTCTCCTTCGTAAACCCTACCTTAGAAGTTCCTATCGGTGACTTAAGAGCGTCGCTTCGCGGAGACACAAGGGGCTCTTCATCATGGCCTTCGCCACGGCCACCATGACCAACCCTATCACCCCACTCCGTCTTGAAGCCGACGGCACTAGCTCCAACTACAAGGCATGGAGCTACGGGGTTGACAAGCACTTCGTGAGCCGTGAGGTGCATGGATTGGACCTCAAGGACGTCCTCCTCAACTATGGCAACGGAAAACAACCCCCCATCCCCAAGGAGCCGTCCGATCCTTCCGATGCTGTGGCAACCAATAAGTACGAGGATTCTGTTGACAAGAACTGTAAGTGGGAGAAGGCCGATGCGGCTATCATTAGCGTTTTCATCGGCACTACGCCCCCCGACCTCGTCAACATCTACCACAATTACCCCACGTCAAACGCCATATGGAAGCACCTTCATGATCGCTTCATGAACAAGACGGCAGTCAGTGTTGCCATCCTCATTCCGAGCATGTTCTAGGTCCGCCTCGAGGACTCGCCTGGCATGGCCGACTACATCTCCAAGGTTCAGTCCATTCATGGCGAACTCAAGGAACTCGGCGTAGCCTTCCCCGAGCAAGCCTCGGCAGCAGCCCTCCTTGTCGGTCTCACTTCGGCATATGAGGTGACTAGGAGAATGTTCCTCACCCTCTCGACGGAAGACCTCACCTTCGCTAAGGTCTCTTCCGCACTCCTCTCCGCCGAGAAAGACACCACGGCTCAAGCCAAAGCCTATGCCCTCCGTGCTCCCGTGCCCCAAGCGAGTGTAGCCTCGGCGCCCTTCCAGTGCAATCGCTTCCCTCCATGCACCTATGTCGTCAAGTATGGCAACCGCAAGGGTCAAGTGTGTGGTGTCACTAACCACCCACTTGCTACATGCTTCAAGAAGAAAGATGACGAATGGTACGCCATCCATGGAGTCGACAAGTAGCCGCCGAACTGGATGCACCCCCGTAAGGCCAACCTAGTTGAGGCACAGGACCTCGCTCAGGCTAGTGCTAGTGATAGTGCTCTTGCTGATGTACGCATCAACTTGTTGTTCCCTGGCACTGCCATGATTAATGAAGCAACTTCACAGTACATCGGCTCATCACAGGCACCATAATACATAGAATTCACACTTGACAGCGGGGCCACTCACACAGTGCTCAAGGAAACACTCTCCTTCAAACCCTACGCAACACCCATTCCTCTCTTGGGAGCTGATTCCAGCTTCACCACTCTTGCCAAGGGTTCGTCCACAGTCCCGTGCCCCGCCTTCCCAAACCAAACCCAAATGTGATCTCCAAGCAATCTCCAACCCACCAATTGGAGATTGCCTTGGGATTACCCCCAATCCCCTAGGATTGCTCCCGATTCCCTCCCCACCCCTACCTTGCTCATTTCCAATGTACTTAAAGAGCTTTGAGCTCCCTACTAAGATATCCATTCTCAGCTCAAGCTCTCATACAGGATGCTGGCAGCATTCATCGCGGCGTTCCCGCACCAGAAATCTCACTGGAACGTGCCGAAGGTGCACCAGATTGTGCACCTGATCAACGGCATCCCTTTGCGTGGGTTGCCGCATGAGACCTCCACCAACTTGTGGGAGCACACACACAAGGGCACTGTGAAGGTGCCGGTCAGAGGGAGCAACTGGAAGGACATTCCGCGCCGCATAGTCGAGGAGGAGGTGCAGCGTGAGCTCGACCGGGAGGTGTCCGCGGACGCAGGTGGCGGCAGGCAGTACGTCACGGCACTGCGCGAGGTGAGTGCAGACCAGGGCTTAGTGTTTGCGATGTCATGCAGCATAGCAATGCTATGAGCGACGAAGTTGCCCCTACACTGAATCATGTTTTTTTTAGGTGTGGTGCATGCAGGCTGTGAGGCTACGCAATCCCGTCATGACGAAGAAGTCCCGTGCAGCTCAGGTGGACGAGGATCTGGACGGGGTGATGTGGGTGTATCACGAGACACATGGGTCAGACATGGACCCTTTAGCTAGGTGCATGAGGGCTGCTGGCCTGGCATCTATGGCCATACAGGTACTGCATTGTTTGGTATATGTCCTAGTGTCTATTCCTCTACATGTGTTGGTGCGCATCTTGGTGTATGGTAGACTGTGCTCCACCCAGCCAAAGGTGGTGAGTCGCACCTAAAACCATCCCGTATGGTTGACCGTCCTACGCAGGTGCACACCGCCGTGGCGATTCCTCGAACCCGGTGGGGAGAGCTCGTGCCCAAGGGCACGTTTATGAAGGCAAGCCCGGCTGAGAAGTGGTTTTCTGACGTGGCCGTGCTCTCTCGACAGGGAGGAGAGTGGTATGCAAGGTGCCTATGCATCTTCCGGGCAAAGGGGGCAGATGGAGAGATGGGCCGGCACGTGTACGTGAAGTACTACGAGACCGAGGGCACGTGCCCGATGACAACGTGCATGCAGCCGACTCCCGGCCGCGTGAGGACACGATATGCTGTGGTGGCTGTGGAGTGCATCCATAGGGTCCTATGTGAACAAGCGTGTCATGCTTCTTAACAGGTTCCTGCTGACGGAGTGAGGAACCACGGGAGTGCCCTAGGAGGGGGATTGTGTCAGAATGAGTGAAGTGATTGCACTAGGAAAGTAGGGAGTACAAGTATGAAACCCTAGAGATTGTACCCCCTAAGGCTAAACCCACTACAGCCTACAGAACACAAACATATACAATGTTTGACACACCCCCATAGGCAAAGTGGGAGACAACCAGATGGTCACAAGACCAGTCAAAGCAAAGCAAGGCAAAGCACAGCTCAGGGTGGATCTCAAGGATACCACAGAAATTCCGAGCACAAGCAAGCGGTCACAAGACCAGTTCACATGCAGTTTGATAATATAACAAGAGGTACAGTGATCACAACCTAGCAAGTGTAAGCATGCAGGTATATATATAGAGATCACAGTACAAACAGAGTCAAGAAGTGAGCAAGTGAGGGACAGTAGGCACAAGGCCTAGAACAGTACAGAAACGCTGATGATCACAAGGCTGAAGCGCCTTGGTGAACACATCAGCAGTGTTGGCCCGAGTGGCCACGTAAGCAAGACGAAGCTGACCACGCTGCTGCAACTCTCGAGCAAGGAAGTAGCGCAGAGCGATGTGCTTCGTTCTGTGCTCCAGTCTGTGCTCCTGACACAAGGCAATGGCGGCCTTGTTGTCGACGTACAGCACTGGAGGAGAACGAGGCCGCTCTCCCAGGTCGGTCAGCAGGTAGGTGAGCCAGCGTAACTCCTGTGCAGCCATGGCTGTGGCGTAGATCTCAGCCTCACAACTGGAGCTGAGAACTGAAGACAAGCGTGTAGAACTCCAAGAGACTGAACTAGAGCCAAGACTGAAGGTGTAACCCTGAGACGACCGCTGAGTAGCCTGGTCTCAGCCCAAGAAGCGTCTGAGTGCCCTGTGAGGACAACCCGAGTCCGTCCTCCAAGCACAAGCCCCATGCTCGACGTACTGCACAAGTAGTGCAACACCCTCTTAGCGGCATCCATGTGCTCCTTCCGGTGACGGCCAGGAGCGACATAGCGTGCTAGGATGCTAAGAGGGTATGCAAGGTCAGGTCGAGTGCAGGTCATCAGGTACATGAGGCAGCCCACAAGCTCTGGATACGGGCCACTCGGCTCTACGGACTCATCCGAAGGCAGAGCTGAGAGCGAGTGACCGGTAGGCAGAGGAGTGGGCTGAGGCGAGGAGTACGTGAAGCGGAAGCGCTGAAGGACCTGCTGCACCATGTGTGACTGAGTCAAGGTGATGGTGCGCTGTGCTCTGTCCCGGGTGATCCGCAAGCCAAGATAGCTTCTCAGCTCACCCAGGTCTGTGCACGTGTGTCTCTTCTGCAGCTCCGACTTCACGTGGGCGAGTGCCTCAGTGTCAGCAGTAGCAAAGACCAAGTCGTCTACGTACACAAGAACGTAGAACGGCGGCAGAGTGGTGTCGGTGCGTAGAAACAGCGACGGGTCAGCAGTAGAGGGAGCAAACCCAAGAGCAGCAAGAGTAGTCCTCAGTGTGTCGTGCCACTCACGGGGTGCCTGGCGGAGACCGTAGACTGGCCGCCGGAGGCTCCACTGGGTACTAGGAGGGAACGACCCAGTGAAGCCAGGTGGACGGCGCAGCCAGATCTCCTCGTGCAGGCTGCCCTGTAGGAACGCAGTGCTGAAGTCAAGAGAGTGGAGCTCGTAGTCACGCTGAGCAGCAACGTGCAGCAGGACCCGAAGAGTGGTCATCTTCGGGGTCGGGGAGAAGGTCTGGAAGAAGTCAACTCCCTCACGCTGACTGAAGCCTCGTGCAACGTAACGCGCCTTGAAGACAGGCGGAGAACCCGGCGGCCGCTTCACCCTGAAAATCCACATGCCACTGACGATGTTCGCCCCAGGTGGGGGAACCTCGTCTACGTAGGTGCCTGTGGACTTCCAGGAAGCCATCTCTGCGTCCATGGCTGTCTGCCACTGAGAGGAGTAGGGACCCTCCATCGCCTCTGCGTAAGAGCGTGGGGTCGGGATGTCTGGTGCATCCGGGTCTCCCTCAGGGGCAATCAGCATGGACACGAGATGAGGTAAAGCAGCGGCAAAGCACTCAAACTCCTCCTGTCTGTCCTCAAGGACGTCCGTGCCAAGAGCACACTCACCCCCGACGGACGGAGGACAGACAGACTCAGACTCAGCAACAAGGCTAGCGGCGTAGTCTAGACGGCAGGCGGCAGCAAAGTCAACAAGCTCAGCGACTAGAGCAGACGCAGCAGATGACTCAAAGGAAGGGTCAGTGACAGCAGTGGCGAGGAGACGTGTGACAGTAGGACTGGCAGCACGAAGGGAGTCAGACGGTGGGTCAGCAACGTCAGGAAGAGAGGACGCAGGAGGAGACGGCAGAGGGACACGCTGCGCAGCAGTGTAAGGACACAGGGTCATATAGTGAGTGCCAAGGACAGGAGGAGGACGCTGACGCGGAGCACGACGACCAGTGCGGACAGCGCGGACAGGCGACTCTGGACGCGACACAGGCGACTCTGGACGAGACTCAGGTGACGCAGGACGAGACTCAGGCTCACGACGCTCCGTAAGACTACTCGTCGGCGCAGTGTAAGGAGAAGGACCAGGCAGCGGAGAGACTGGCTGTAACTGTGACTGCGACTGGACAGGCGGTGGACTCAGGAGGGGAGGAGTAGGACCAGGAGAGGGCGGGAGGCCAAGAACCTGCTAAAGGAGCGGAACGTAGTACGGCCGCGGCCGCGCAGCTCCCCCTGAACCAGCAGAGACAGCACCAGCGCCCTCAGCTCCAGGGTCTCCAGCGACAACTCCCGCAGCACCACCAGCAGCTCCAGCAGCTCCAGCACCTCCAGCATCAGGAGCACCCCCAGCAGCACCAGCACCAGCAGCACCTCCAGCAGCACCAGCACCAGCAGCACCTCTAGCAGCACCACCAGCAGCTCCAGCACCAGCAGCACCTCCAGCAGCACCAGCACCAGTAGCACCTCCAGCAGCCCCAGCACCAGCAGCACCTCCAGCAGCTCCAGCTCCAGCAGAACCCCTAGTCCCAGCAGCTCCCATACCGCCTGTACGAGCACCTCCAGGACCAGAGGCTCCAGCACCTCCAGCAGCTCCAGCAGCGCTAGCAGCACCTCCAGAAGCAGTAGTGCCTCCAGCGCCAGCAGTGCCTCCAGCAGCTCCAGCGTCAGTAGCACCAGCACCAGTACCAGCTCCAGCTCCAAGGTCCGCGACACCAGTAGCGCCACTCCGAAGACTGCAACGCCGAGCGTACCACTCTCGGAGCCGCTGGGGAGAGGGCGGCTCCCGACGAGGAGGGGAACCACGAGCACCAGCTCCAGCAGCACCCCTAGCTCCAGAAGCGCCCCTCTGGAGGCTGCAGTACTGCAAGTACCACTCCCGCAGCAACTGCGAGGAGGGAGCGCCTCCAGGTGCAGCACGGTCAGTCGCAGCACCCTCTGGCTCAGTACCCTCAGACGTAGCACTCTCAGGCTCAGCACCCCCAGACTCAGCACCCCCAGACTCCGTACCCGCAGGCTCCGCACTCCCAGGCTCCGCACCCCCAGGCTCAGCACCCCCAGGCTCCGCACCCCCATGCTCCGCACCCCCAGGCTCAGCACCCCTAGCAGGACGAGAGTCGACAGCTACCTCGACAGGCTCAACCGGGTCTACCTGGGACACACCTGAGGGAGCGGCACCCTGAGGGGGGAGGGGGTCTACCACAGCAGCACCTGGTGCGAGGAAGAGAGGCGGGGAGGGGAGCGGGGCAGTGCGGTAGGGGAAGAGGCGGTAGTAGGGGACCGACTCGTCGAACGTGACGTCCTGAGAAGGCAGGACACGGCGCGAGGTGGCGTGGTAAAACTGCCAACCAGACGCGTCCGGGACAAAGCCAAGGAAGACACAAGGAACAGCGCGGGAGGAGAGCTTGTCCGCGGACGTATCACGAACAAAAGCTCGAGATCCCCAGACCCGGAAACGAGACGCATCGCCAACCTCTCCCGTCCAACGCAGTGTCGGCGAAGTCTCCGGAGCGGAGACACGGGGCCAGAGGTTGAGCTGATGCGCAGCGTATCGGACCGCAAACGGCCACAGAAAGTGGGGGGCAGCCGCATGGATCAAGGAGGTACGAGCGACCTCCATGACCAGGCCAATGCTGCGCTCAGCAACCCCATTCTGCTGTGGAGAGGCCGGAAGCGTGAACGACTGCTCAATGCCCTGCCCCTGACAGTAGGCCCTCAAGAGGTCGGAGGAAAACTCCCCACCTCTGTCAGAGTGCAGACGCAGGACAGGAAAGTCCGAGTGGAACCTCTCGTTAAGCTGGAGACGGGCAGCGCGGATCCAAGGGATCAAGACATCAGGGACTTCACCCTTGGTGCGCAAGGGGAAGACCGTGGTGTAGCGCGAGTAGTCGTCAACAACTATCAAGAAGTACCTCTCGTGACCCTGTCCACGGACGCGGGCTGGGCCCCACACGTCCATGTGGAGCATCTGCAGGGGAGCAGTCGTCGGGGGAAACGAGGAGGAGTGAGGAGCGGCGCGCTGCCGCCCCTCGACACAGGGAAGACAAGGAGGAGCAGGCGAGGGTGGGAGGGGAGGGAGAACCCTGGGAAGACCAGAGACAAGGTACCGTTTGTGCATGCCACGAAGGCGCTGCACTGACGGGTGACCAAGGCGGTGGTGCCAGAGGACGGTCTCGTGCACCAGGGAGCGACACGAGCAGGGGGCCGACAGCTGACCTGACGCAGACGCAGACGCAGCTACCTGAGGGGACTCAGTGGTCAGTGTGTACAGGTCCGACCCCGGCTGCCGAGTGAAGGTAGCCAGGTGGCGACCCGTCCGAGCACACGTGCAGTGTGTCACACGCTCGTAGGCAGGGGTGAACTGGTGGACACCCCCGTCCTGAAGTGCACTACCTGCCACCAAGTACGTAGAGAACGAGGGGAGGTAGAGACCTGACAGTGTGCCCGACGGGACCGCAGGACAAGGGAGGGCAGTGGAGGAGGTCGCAATGACCGGACCCCCAG